AGTGTCCTTATGCTGAGGATTTATACCAGTTTAGCATGATTACTAGCCCATCTGGTCATTTTCTCAAAATGTAGATTCTGGATTATTAGATCTCTGGTACACTTGAGATTCTGTATGTTTCACAGGCTCCAAAAAGGAACCAGAGTCTTGGGTGCCACAAGGTAAATTTGAACCACAAGGACAGCGGTTCAGACTCACCAACTGCTCCTTGGGTTGCCATGAGTTGGAACCGGCCCGACAGCACTTAACAACAGCAATAACAACAACAATAACAACAAGAGGAGCCAATACTGCTAATACATGCATCACAACATGCATCACAAATGGCTACATAACTGTATCTGATGGTTTGTCTAGTTTTTACCTTCTTTGATTATAGTAATTTGGTTTCATCCTGGACAAAATTATTAAATGTGTTTTATTTATTTAAAAAAAGTCTCTATCGTACCAGATTTCTGAAAACTGAAAATTCTGTGCCTTACTGTGAATGTTTGATAAAGTTTTTGATGAATTGAAGTAGTTTTATTGCTCCTAAATTTTGACTTGACAGGTTAAAAAATCAAATGGATGTCTAGGAAAGCATTTGAGTTAGCACTAGCTTGTAACCTAAAATGTCAGAATGCCTTCTTGCTCTGGGTTAGGTGCTTATTGGCGATCATTTGCAATAAATAGTTACTCTGGAAGATTTTATGTTAATGAGGAGGGAGTGGGAGGGATAGACATGTGATCTCATGAGTATAAATATAGAGTCGAACAAGTTGTTGATACATTCATCATCATCACCAGAGAAGGAGTTCCTGGTCCTTCCCTTCAGTTCTCCAGGAGGTGAGAAACAAGTCAATATAGATGTGCTGTGGGTAAAGCCATACTGTGCCTTTTGAGTATGGATTGCAGGGAAGTTCTTGCTTGAAATATTTGCTACTTTTTTTTTACTTTTATTTAAGACGTTATGGTATTTGATTTGGGAGTATTGACAGCTGGGAATTACTAGCTTCCCTTGATCCTGTATACAAATGTCTAAAAGTAGTTGGGTTACTTTTTGTTTGACTTATAGATTAAAATATCTTTACTGTCAAATAAAATCAGAGATATTAATCAGGCATAGTGTAAATGTTCAAGTGAATTTATCCATGCCTATGGTTATTGTTATGATATGGCATTGTGGGCTAATGTACTAGACAGCAAGGTAAGTTTGAACCACAAGGTTGGTGGTTCAAGCTCACCAGCTACTCCGCGGAAACCCTATACAAGGTCGCTATGAGTCAGAATTTATTCAACGACACTTAGCAACAACAACAGTGATTGTTGTTGCTGTTGTCAAGTTCCATCAATTCGGTTCCAACCCGTAACAAACCTGTATAGGGTTTCCGAGGAGCAATTGGTGGGTTTAACTGCTGACCTTAAGATAGGCAGTCCAGTGCTGATCCTACAGCACCACACCAGGATTGCATGCGCATGATGGACTCTGATCATTTATAAATGGCTGTTATTGCCCGGGAGCTCTTCATCTCAAGCTGTTCTGTCTACCTGCATCTTATTTTCCATTTTTATTTATTTATTTTAAAGTCTTTATAACTGAGTGATAGTTTACATGGGAGAACATCAGCTTTACTCCATTGTTTCATTGCAGTGATTACAGTCTCCTCCATGCATTCCGTGCATCATCATTCATCAGTATTTGCTTCCATTCCCTCTGTTTTGTTTTGTGTGTGTGTGTGTGTGTGTGTGTGTTTTGGAGGGGCCGCTGGGGGCATTTACACAGAAACATTCAGAAATATATGATAATTTAAACAACCAAAGGGCACATTATGCAAGCCTTGCCTGCTGGCCGCCAGTCCGTCTCTTTCCATGAGTCCAGAGTCCTCAGCTGCTCCCTTTCTCCATGTCCCCATCTCTGCCTCCATCTTTGGTGTTGCTGCTTCTCTGGATAGGATCCTGCATTCCGCTTGTGCTCTTCTCCCTTGATGGTCCTAGGGTCCTCTGTTTCTGGACTATAAGATTAACTACTCCTGTTTTTGTTATAAACAGTCACAATTAGTCATGATAACAATTACTGTTGAATCATAAGAATTTTAACTCCATCTCTTTTCACCAGACACATCTAGACAAGACGAAAACTATTCAGTGGGGCCTCTACCTCCCCCCACCCACTCTTAAAGTAAACTCATCTTGAAAACTTGTAAGCCAATCACTTCGTGTCTTCTATCGCCCCCTCATTTTAGGTAGCCAATGTCTAAGTTGCCCATCCATATCTACCCTGTACACAGAGGGGGATAGCATTGATACTTGATGTAAAGGCTCCTTCCCTTTCTGTTGGTATTTTGAGTTACTACATCCATAAGTCAGGTTCATCAAATTGTAGCTATTTATACTCATTTCCTTTATCAAAAATTGTTGTTTTTGTTTTAAATCTTCTTTTAGTCGAGTTCTGATTATCAAGCCATCAAGGATAGGTCAAATGGATACTGTCTGCAAGTTTGCGTGTTCTTGTGCATCTCCCCTCACTTCATATCAGTTGGATGCTTCACTCTCAGCTCTAGCCCTCCTGCTTCCCATTTTGAAGTTGAAAAATATTTTTTTCCCTTCAAAATTGAAATGAGGACAAGGGAAGCTAGACACTGGGGAAAAGTATAGGGTGTAACCAATAGTTGAGAGTTGTTATCTTTAGATTTTTACTTTCCACAGAGTAAGATAGTTTCTTCTACCAAAGTTAGCTGTATTTCACCCTCTCACTACACTTGTGAATTGGAGAGAGGATTTAACGTTCCATTATTTTTAGTAGCACATTCTAATAATTTGTAACCCTGGATCATAAACTAGCTGGGAGCAAGTACAGCTGAGGGAGTTGCATGTAAGCGATGGCAGCGGAATCTAAATAGCCTTTGGCTTTGTTGTTGTTAGGTGCTGTCAAGTGGGTTCCAGCTCACAGAGATCATGCAAACAGAACAAACACTGCCCAGTCCTGCTCCATCCTCACAGTTGTTACATTTGAGCCCATTGCTGCTGCTACTATATCATCCATCTTTCTCTTTCACTTAGCCTCTACTTTACCAAACATGATGTATTTCTCCAGGGACTGGTCCCTCCTTTGGCTTTCTTGCTGTTGTTGAGTTGGTTCCGACTCATAGTTACCTTGTACAGGGTTTCTGAGGAGTGGCTGGTGAGCTTGAACCACTGAGCTTGTGATTCAAACTGACCTTGTGGTCCAGCTCATTAACCCATTTTCCCACATTGCCACAGCAGGCTTTGGCTCCCTTGAAACTTTAGAGCAGTTTAGGCATTCACTGCACTGTGTTCACTGAGCGTGTTTACTGCTGAATTTTCATGCTGCCATTCATGCATTAGAGTCCTGGTGTGGCGCTGCTGGTTAATGCACTAGACTGCATGGTCGGCGGTTCATACTCAGAAGCTGCTCCTCGGAAACCCTATGCAGGGTTGCTATGAGTTGGAATCTGCTCAACAGCACTTTTAACAACAATAACAGCATTCTTGCATTAAGAGTCTTAGCAGAGACTGCCTTGCGATTTAACCTTAATGCTGCTGCTAGATTGGAACTAATTTTTAAACAATTTATGTTGAACCTAAATTAAAGTTTTTGAAGCCAGTTTGTTTACTGCAGTCTAATCAGATTGTACTTTTGCGAATACCTTAACCCCAGGGTTAAAGCTGATTGGGAAAAAGTGAGACTTTTGATTCATATGAGGACTATTCCCTGAGGTTCCTTTGCACCCCTTTCTGGAGGCTTGGATAGATCAGTATAGACTAAGTCAATGTCTACCCTACTCAAAAACATACTTAGAGCTCTAGAAAATTCCTTCTACCAATACCCCTACAGGATTCTGGGCGGTCAATCCTTTCCCATCAGTAATTCTGAGTATGTGCATATCAGCTTTCTAGAGAAGAAGGGAGAGGCCTGTCTGAGGAAACCTCTTGACCTTCTCTCTTACTCTTCTGTTCTTGCATTCAGCTCTTCACCGCATTACAATCAGTACTTGAAGTCCTTCCAACTTTTTTTTCTTATGTCCTTGCTTTTACTGCCTTCCATAGGATAGCCAAGACCCCTTGTTTTGTGTTAAGACTTCACAAGATTGTTTTTCATTGGGGACTGCTATGTTCTGAATATATTCATATCATACCCTGAGTTTAGATCTGCACTGTATTTTAATATCATCAAGTTGAGCAAGGTTTTGTCTGACACCAATAATAAACCCTACACAACCTCATACTTCACTTCTCACAAATGTCTTCTGAGGTGGCTGAGGAGGGTGGGTTTGAACCATTATTGCTATCCAAAGACTCGATGGTGTGTGGTGGTTGTGTACCGTTGAGTTCCAACGTGTAAGGACCCTGTATAATGTTTCTGAGGCTGTAAACCACTATGGAAATAGAAAGCTTCATCTTTCTCCGGCAGAGTGGCTGCTGTGCTCTGAAATTCTCAGTCCACTGTCAACTTAGGAAGCCCTGTACATGGCCAATGTAAATCCAAATAGACTCTATGACAGCAGATTTAATTTATTTTTAATTTTGAAATCTGCCACTCTTTAAGGAGAACAGTCAGATAATCTTGTTTTTGTCTTCCAGATGAGAAGCAAATGTACTAGCACAGGGTCAGTTTTCCTCTATTGCTTTAGATATATGTGTTTTTGGTTTACCCAAGTAGTTTATTCTTGTCTCTGAAATGAATGAGAAAACAGTGATTGAAATTGAAACCAGCACATTGACTGACCAACCCATGGTCCAACTCACCCTGTCTCAAATTTCCCATCACGTACTTCTCTAAATAAAAAATTACTCGACAAAAACAATATTGTTATCATTTCTCTAAAAGAATGAGGTGTAAAAGAGAGGTGAGGAGTGATTATACCTTGTAGATCAACTATAAAAAGTTTTCTCCAGTCATTTTTTAATCTGATCAGGTACTATGGGTTTACATGATATCTTTGTCCTTTTAAAAAATGCCCAAGTAGTTACAATCCAATCATTAATCTTTTTCTTTGCAGTTTCCAAAACAGGACTTACAGCAAAATGAATAATCCAGCTATCAAAAGAATAGGAAATCACATTATCAAATCTCCTGAAGACAAGCGTGAATACCGTGGGCTAGAGCTGTCCAATGGCATCAGAGTCCTTCTCATCAGTGATCCCACCACGGATAAGTCATCAGCAGCACTTGATGTACACATAGGTACAATTTTTAAAGTTATGAATGAATTTCTGTTCAGTTTCATAAACCTAATGCTGATATTTATTAGTACTCTTTTTATCTGTACAAATAAAGAAAGATATCATAGTTAGCAATTCATTCAGATGTCCTTTACTTTATATGGTAGCCTTGTACAGCTGTTGGTAAACTATGGTTATCTAAATCAAATAATTATTTGAAGGGGCTTCAAAAAGTTTTTGGAAAAATTCTGTGAACTTGGTTTTTTTTTTTTTTAAGTTTTTTTATTGTGAATTGAGTGAAGGTTTACAGACAAGATCATCAGTTTTGCATTCAACAAATCATACACTTCGTTTCATTTCAGTGATTGCAATCCCTCCATGCAATAACAGTTCTCCTACTTTCTCTTCATGGTACCTGTTTCCATTCCACCTCCTTCTCACACCTTTTCAACTTTGTTCTCAGGAAAATGTTTTCCTTTTGATCTTGAATAATTGACCATTCCATGGTGAGCATACCTTACTAGTGTTTTTGTCCCCCCCTATATACCTATCTACTGCTTGGCTGAAAATTGGGCCACAAGGGTAAGTTCCTTCCCAGAACTGAAAGGTGGTTGAGGGCCATAGTCTCAGATTCCTTCAGTCACTTTCTAACCAGTAAGCCTGGTTTGTTGTGTTTATGTGTATGTATATATATATATACATATATACTTTGAATTTTGTTTCACATTTTCTCCCCCTTTATCCAAGACCTTTTCATGTAATCCTTTTCAGAGCAGGTAGGTGATAGTGGTAGTTGGCCATCATCTAGTTCTTCTGGTCTAATAAGAGTAGTGGTGATGTTCACATGCTCCAATGGTCCATTGAAGTAGTTGATTCCAAGCATCTTCACTTTTCATCACTCTTCTTTATTCTGCACATGGAGAGACCAATAGTTGCACCATGGATGGCTGCTCATGAGCTTTTAAGATTCCAGACACTACTCACCAAAGTAGAATGTGGAATATTGTTTTTGTGGACTGTGTTAATTCCATTAAATTTTAATTCCATTTTTCACAAACTTTTTGAAGTCCTCTCATACATTTACCAAGAGTATTTACCAAGAGTATATCTTGATAAAAATCCACCTAGTGGGACCAAGCAGCAAGGAAATTCACTCCTATCCTTTTCAGTAGCAGTTCTTATGTTTTCACTTTTGTAGATATAATCGTACCGTATGTCTTAGATTTTTATGTGTACACTTCTTCCATACTCATTGTTGCTTTATCAGTTTGCTTATCTATGTGTATATTTAGTGGGTTATTGTTTGGGGTATTTTCCTATTTATTGTTGTTTAAAGTTTTATTTTGTTGCTGATTGCCATTTGGGTCCATTCTAACTCATGGTGATCCTGTGTGTGCTTCCTTTCAGAAGCATATGGCCAGGGTTGTCTTCCTTGGTGCCTCTGGATGGGTTCAAACTCACAACTTATCTGCTAGTCATTGGGCACTTAAAAATTTGCACTGTCAAGAGACATACTAATTTTGTTTTAGGATTAGTGTTTTAGAATTGAAGAAATAAGGTAATAATTATCATGTGCTGATATAAATATCACCAATTACAATGCAAAGTACTTTGCAAATATCATCTAAGATAGTACTCATATAGTCTCTAAGAAAGGTGTTATCAGCAACCTACAGAAAAAGTGATCCCAGATGACAGAGGTAAAATAATGTGTTCAAAGTGTCACAGCTAGCTAGTAGAGCTGCTAACTCTCAAACTCATACTCTTATAACTGTGTTATATGGTTTCTTTCAACAAAATGTAAGAGCTAGAAAGTTTTATCTCTGTGGAACATTGAATTTAACTCTTTTACTCATATTTCCTTTTAGTGTAATATGTGAGGAAACTAATGTCCTGAGATGTTAAATAATTTGTGTAAGGTCACCAGGTGATTAGTGGTTGGGACTTGGAGTTGTCATGCTAACAGAAGTTCCAAATTATCTGTAATTCATCTGTTGTTGTTAAGTGCTGTTGGGTTGGTTCTGACTCATCAGCCCTGTATAGGGTTTCCAACAAGCTAGTGGGTTTGAACCATTACTCTGCAGTTAGCATCTAGTATTTATTCTACAGCACTACATGGGGACTCCAACTCATCTATATTTATTAGCATTTCATATAGCACAATGATTTGTTTATACATGTCTTTTCATGTCCAGGTTCATTTTCGGATCCTCCAAATATTGCTGGCTTAAGTCATTTTTGTGAACATATGCTGTTTTTGGGAACAAAGAAATACCCTAAGGAAAATGAATACAGCCAGTTTCTGAGTGAGCACGCAGGAAGTTCAAATGCCTTTACTAGTGGAGAGCATACTAATTACTATTTTGATGTTTCCCATGAGCACCTAGAAGGTGCCTTGGACAGGTATGTTGAATATATATAGTATCCAACTTTGTGCACTTATCCCATTGATCATCCTCATCATTACATTTATATTTGCAAAGACATCCTCACAGTTTTATAGTTTAACGAAAGCTATTTTAGCTGTTATTTTCGTTCTTTCTGTGTTTTACTAAGAGAGTAAAACAGCACAAAAGCTCAGTGATACCATATATTTACTTTGTGGTATAGGGGAAATAATGGTGTGATTTTAAAACAGCCTTCAGACCTACAAAATGTTTTATTGACGTGTAAAATTTTTATCAGCCCTTCCCATTCTTACTAGTGTTAGGTAAGTAATCCTTGTTGAACAAAAGCATTAGTGGCTAAGCATATACTGTAATGGTGCCATAGATCTCTCTTCAAAATAGTTCCTGTTTCAGAGTGCTAGATGGTAAATATTCTGTTCTGCAGTTACCTGCTTCTCAGTGTACTTAGTGGATACAGAATGTTTTGACCTGCTGTTTCGACCCTACAGACATTTTAAAAGTATATTCTGTGGCAGACTCCATTAAGACTATTTTAATATCCTTGTTGATTTCTTATACAGCTAGCTATTTCTAATGGTTTTTAAATCAGTGAATTGATTCATTATTTTAAGTGTTATTTTGCCTTTGTGAACTTTTATAGTTTTCTATGTTACCAAGAAAGTAATTCTGTAGGTTTTGATGTGTTGATAATGAAATTTGACCTTGTAGCCTTAGCCATTTCAAGCTCTATTTGCTTATTTATATAATAATAATATTTTGATTTTAAAAAACCAGGTAAGTTGCGTTCTTTTCATTAGAAGAAAGAATATTAACAGGGCAAAGACACGGGTTTAGGATACGACTGGGTCAAAGTTGTCTGTTTCTTAATCTATCATATATTTAAATTTTGAGGCAGCAGCTTTGAGGTATAATTGTCTTTTACATGTTTTCCTAGACGACTTCCATGAATGAGTACCTGGGTTCATACACTAAATGTAATTTTATGCTTTACAAATACTATGTTGTTGTTGTTAAGTGCCGTCGAGTTAGTTCCAACCCATAGCAACCCTGTATAGGGTTTCCAAGGAACAGCTGGTAAGCTTGAACCACCGACCTTGCAGTTCAGACAGCTTTGAAGTTTAACCCACAGCGTCACACCAGGACTTCTTACAAATACTATGTTGTTGTTGTTAAGTGCTGTCAAGCGACTCTGACCCATAGCAACCCTGTATAGGGTTTCCAAGGAGAAGCTGGTGAACTTGAACTGCTGACCTTGCAGTTCAAATGGCTTTGCAGTCTGGCGTATTAACCCACAGCACCACACCAGGACCCTACAAATGTTGTTTTTAAGTGCCGTCGAGTCAGTTCCGACCCATAGCGACCCTGTATAGGGTTTCTGAGGAGTAGCTGGTGAGTTTGAACCACTGACTTTGTAGTTCATATGGCTTTGCCGTCTGGTGCATTAACCCACAGCACCACACCAGGACCCTACAAATGTTGTTTTTAAGTGCCGTCGAGTCAGTTCCGACCCATAGCGACCCTGTATAGGGTTTCCGAGGAGTAGCTGGTGAGCTTGAACCACTGACTTTGTAGTTCATATGGCTTTGCCGTCTGGTGCATTAACCCACAGCACCACACCAGGACTCCACAAATACTATAGCATCCTTTAAAAAATTGATTGTACTGTATCATAAGCATGACACTTTTCTTGTGCCTTCCAGCTTTGGCACATACCTATCAGGCACATTTTCCAACTTGACGGTATTGGGGTAGGTAAAATGAGTTACTGTATGTCCAGAAAAATCTCTGTTTTCATATGCATACACCTTTGATTTCACATTTCTGACAGATGGAGTTTCCCTTAGAGTTGGTATGTGTAAAGTTCTTAGAGCAGTACCAATTCATTTATATGCTTAAAATAAATGTTGTTGTTTGGTGTCATCCAGTGGATTTTGACTCATAGCAGCCCTGTGCACCAAAGAACAAAACAGTGCCCCACCTGCACCATACTCACGATCATTGTTACTTGAGCCCGTTGCTGCTGCCACTGTGCCAATCTATCTCGTTGGGGGTCTTCCTCTTTTTCTGTGACCCTCCACTTTAACAAGCATGATGTCATTATCCAGGAACTAGTCCCTTCTGATAATATGTCCAAAGTATAGAGGAGAAGTTTCACCATTCTTCTAAGGAGCACTCTGGCTGTATCTCTTCTAACACAGATTTGTGTATTCTTCTGGCAGTCCATGATACTTTTAATATTCTCCTCAAACACCATAACTCAAATGCATCAGTTCTTCTATGGTCTTTCTAATTCATTGTCCAACTTTCACATGCATATGAGGCTACTGAAAATACCATGATTTTGGTCATTAGTATCATACTCAAGTAAATTTTGCTAAAGATAATACACAAAGGGCAACCATACATTGACAGAGAACTTCCAGAGGTTGAAGCTGGATTCAGAAGAGGATATGGAATGAAGGATTTCATTGTTGACATCACATGGATCTTGGCTGAAAGCAGAGAATACCAGAAGAAGTTTACCTGTGCTTTATTGACTATGCAAAGGCTTTTGATTGTGTGGATCCTGATAATCTATGGACAACAGTGTGGAAAATGAGTATTCTTGAACACTTAATTGTGCTCATGAGAAACCTGTACCTAGATCAAGAAGCAGTCATTGAACAGATTAAGAAATTAGGAAAGAAGTATGCCAGGGTTATATTCCTTCACCATACTTAGTCTGTATGCTGAGCATATAATCTGAGAAGCTGGACTATATGAAGTAAAATGTAGCATCAGGATTGGAGGAAGACTCATTAAGCACCTGCAATATGCAGGTGATATGATCTTGCTTGCTAAAAGCAAAGAGGACTTAAAATACTGATGAAAATCAACGACCACATCCTTCAGTATGGGTTGAACCTCAGTGTAAAGAAAACAAAAATCTTTACCAATGAGCAATAAACAACATCCATATAAATGGAGAAAAGATTGAAGTTATCTAACATTTTGCTTGCATCAATCATCAGCACTCATGGAAGCAGCAGTCAAGAAATCTAACGATGTATTACATAAGGCAAATCTGCTGCACAAGACCTCTTTAAAGTGTTGAAGAACAAAGATGTCAGTTTGAGGACTAAGGTGCACTTGACAAACCATAATATTTTCAATATCCTCATACGCATGTGAAAGTAGGACAGTGAGTAAGGAAGACCGTAGAAGAATTGATGCTTTTGGATTATGGTGTTGGATGGGAGAATATTAAAAGTACCATGGACTGCCAAAAGAACAACTAATCTGTTGAGAGTAGTACAGCCAGCATGCTCCTTGGAAACCAGGATGGCCAGATTTCTTCTCTCATACTTCGGACATATTATCAAGAGGTGCCAGTCCATGGAGAAGGATATCATGTTTGATAAAGTGGAGGGTCAATGAAAGAGAGGAAGACCCCCAACGAGTTGGATTGGCATACTTGCAGCAGCAATGGACTCAGACAGCAATGAGTGTGAGGTTGGCGCAGGACCAGGCAGTGTTTCATTCTGTTGTGTATAGGGTTGCTATGGGTAGGCATAGACTCAATGGCACCTAAGAACAAACCTAACAGCATTAAAGCTACTATGAAATACTTTAGATTTCTCACTCCATTGTTTTCTTTTTCTACTAAATGAAGTTGTTTTTCTCCATAAGACAAAAAAAAATTCAAACAAAGGATTTTAAAAGTAGGTCATTTACTTTGTCCTAAGGTGTCTGAGGAGTCCTGGTATGGCGCTGTGGGTGTGCGCTAGGCTGCAAAGTCGTTTGAACTTTAAGGTTGGCGGTTCAAACTCACCAGCTGCTCCTCGGAAACCCTATACTACTGGGTCGCTATGGGTTGGAATTGACTCGAAAGCGCTGAACAACAACAAGGTGTCTGAATCCTATTGGAATTGCTCTTGAGACTGTAAATTTAATACTTTTTTTTTTTTTTTGCCTTAAAAATTTCACCTGCTTTTCCTTTTTTTGTAGAATTAGCCACATATGACTAAGTTTTTCACAGAAACGCCAGACTACAAATCTTAAATAACTTGCTGTTGTATTTTCATAACCCCTCCTTGACTTTCGGGTGTTAATATTTATATATTTTTCTTAATTATTTAGCATCCATAGGGTAGATAACTTCTCTGAATTTACGTAAGTTCTAAGTTACTTCTTTACTTAGAACTTATTATATATTCTTTTTGTTTGTAAGTAGAAATGATAGTTTTTTCCCAGCATTGTAGAATTCATTTTTCCTATCTAAGCTTCAGAGTATGAATTTTAAAAAGGTTCTCTATTCAAGTTGTTAATTATCTTTCACACCCATAGGTTTGCACAGTTTTTCCTGTGCCCCTTGTTTGATGAGAGTTGCAAAGACAGAGAGGTGAATGCAGTTGATTCAGAACATGAGAAGAATGTGATGAATGATTCCTGGAGACTCTTTCAGTTGGAAAAAGCTACAGGGAATCCCAAACACCCCTTCAGCAAATTTGGGACAGGTTTGTTAACAGCGGCTTTCATGCATAGTTCTCCTTGCCCTTATTTAAACCCTTGGCCTCTTTGCACAATGCTGCATTCTACAGTTTAGGATAAAAGACTTCACATTTCTTTTTTAACTCCTAGTCTGAACTGAAAAGTAGTTGTTACACTGCTGTTACTCCCTTTTATCTCTTAATCCATGCTCCTACACTTCTGTTATCTACCTGGTCTCTGTGTAGGTACCTGCACTTGTGACTCCTAACCTAAGATGAAGCTGAAGGTTAAGTATATGACCCTCATGGAGAAAGTGGTAGGTTTTTGAGTGGTGAGGTCCCCAAACATGAAGTAAGTGGCAAGACATAGAATTGAATTCAGAGTTAAGAACAGTAAGACAGCTAGCATTTTGATTAGTTGTTCAAAAAGAAGAATGTCAAATAGGATAGAGCCCCTTACTATAGATTTTATATATAAGCCTTGGGATAACAGTCTCAAAATTATATAACAGTGTTTTTAAAAATCACTTATCCCCTCACAGGTTAATCCCCTTCAAAATTAAACCCTCTGCCTATAGGAGAAAATAGAAGTGCTCTTTCGAGTTTCCGAGTCTAAATCTTTACAGGAGTAGACAGTCTCATCTTCCTCCTGGGAAGCAGCAGGTTGCTTTGAATTGCCCACAATGCAGTTAGACGCCAGATGCCCTCTTCATGGTACCAGCAGGCTTCCTTATTCCATTCACATAGTAATCAGAGTGTTTAAGGAGCAGAGCAGAGTTTGTAAATAGACATTTATCAGCATTTCAAAGAGAGAAGGTAATAAATTAATTCATTCTGAAGCCTGCTTTCCAAATGGCAGTAATTTTTAGAGTGCTCACCACTAGTCTTATTGAATACCTCTGCTGTTCCATCACTTCCACCTCTACTCATCACTTATATACCATCTGCTATGGAAAAGCTATTGGAGATAATCCTTCAAGGCACACATGGTCCCTGCTCTCAAAGGGCAAAGATCTCTTGGAAGATGAGGTGGAATGATTGGGAATAACATATAATAAATATGGACAATCTTTATTTTATAATTGTACTCTTTGTCTTTAGGTTTTTTTTTTATTAAAAAGTACATGTTTATTTAAAAGCACAGAAGTGTTTAAAGTAAAACAAAAAAACAAAAAATGTAAAACCAAGTCTCTTTTTCCTCTTCTGTTCTTGTCTGTTTCACTCACCAGAGGTCATCTTTATTGATAGAGTGCTAAAGTGTTAAAACACTGCTTTGGGATTATACAGGATTATACAATCGTATAAAATAAATATGGATTCTTTAGTACACTTGTAAGTTTATTACATAAGTTGATTTGTGGACTTTTTTTAAGTTTGGAAATCATTCTATTATATCCAGCAGCAACCCAATAAAACTAATGTAGCTTTACAGAGTGGGAAGTTTAAAATTTTTGAGATGAAATCAGAGCCATCCCCATCACCACTGAGTTGGTTCTGACTCACAGTAACTCTCCAGGACAGAGTAGAACTGCCATAGAGTTCTCAAGACCATGCTCTTATGGAAGCAGACTGCCCTGTCTTTCTCTTGCACATGGTCTGGTGGGTTCAAAACCACCGACTTCTGGTTAGCAACCAAGTGCCTAACCACTGTGCTACCAGCGTTCCTCATTCATCTTAGAAATGATGCTGATACTGAATGTCAGTGTGTCTAAAGATTATGCTATCGTTGGATACTATGATCCTTAAAACGTCTGTGTAGTGCTGAATTGTCTGACAAATGGTTTTGATAGACAGCATCAGCATACATGGTATGTCAGGAAGGGAAAGTGAGCTTTAAAAACGTACTTCAGAATCAGATCCAAATGATTATTGCCCTTGTAGTAGCGGGTTTAGTAAGTTAGATAGTTATACCAACAATAATGCTATTGTGTAGAACGTGTTAGAGCTTTTTTGGGGAGTTCTACATAAGCGGCTCCGAGGGAGAAAGATGAGGCATTCTGCTCCTGTAAAGATTTATAGCCTCAGAAACCCTGTGCAGGGTCACTGTGAGTCGGAACCAACTCCACAGTACTTAACAACAACATTGATGACAAATCATAATTAGTATTATCAAGAAGCAGCCACATATCTTTAAAAATAAATGTGATCAGTAAGGTAAATAAATATTACTCTGACACCACAAGCAAGGGACAATGTTAAGGCATCCCAGAGGAAGGCTTCGGGCGTGATGGACAAAGAGAAACATTGACTGGTCAGATTTGTATGGGTGGAGTTTGGAGGTATGTTTGTTTTTATAACTACTGACAAGGTAAGGCAATTAGCAAAGTATGAGGTAATATAAATAGCTAAGAGATGAGTGAGCCAGTCTTAATACAAAAGTAACGAACATGCAATACAAATAATGAAAAATGCCCAATTTGCCCTTCAATTTTAGAAATAAAAACTAGTACTAATACTTCTGGAGTAGAGGCTTTGTCTTTTTTTTTTTTTTTTTTGCAAACCAAGTTTTTAATTTGTTCATTTCTTGCATTTGAAATACTGTTTGATGACTTCCTTAGCCTGAGATTCTTGTCCATAGGTCTTAACAACAATACAACTAGAACCAGGCTCTTTAAGTGCTTTCCCCTGTTTGTCAGTTTTGTAGAGACCTACCCACTCCCCTAGTTTCTTGTTGTCATCAGCCTTTGTCAGGTTGGTTTGGTGTTTAGCACAAAGGACTTCCACTAACTTGACACATACGTAGACTCATCACAGTTAGATGCAAGCATACAAAGATGGACTTGGCATCTTTTCCTAGGTTTTTTATAGAACAATTGCCTTTCAAAATATGTACTTAACCCATGAACTTCTTGCCTTCTTCCTGTGGCTGAACTTTGATTCCAGTGTAGAGACTGATAAACATACTTGTCTAAGGTTTGACATCTTCTCAGATTACACGTGCTGTAGACCATGTGGACGAGGGTGATCTTCTGCACCTCTTGTAAAGCCGTGTTAGTTATCATTATACCTCCAGCAGCAGTGTCTTCCTCCACCATGATGGTGGATCGGCCATGGTAGTGGGTTAGGGTTGTAGCCACATCTTGAATGCACCCACGCCTCTGCTTCCATATTACTCAGCAGCACAACTCATAGACAATAACAGTTATCCCTTCTTAAAATCACAGATACTTTTTAAAATATGATAAAAACTATATGATCTTGCCTCCAAATTGCACACATATCAACAATTGCCAAAGTGATCCTTGAAGAACAATCTTTGTCAGAAATTCATACTTTGCTCTGTTATTTTTGCTTGGCCTCAGCTGTTTTTGTATATTGTATTTTGTTCACCGTAAGATTGGGATTTAAAATAACAATGTCAACTGCATTTAACAACAACAACATAGGGTTACTATAGGACAGAGTAGGAATTCTGATGTGATGCTGTACGATAAGCATTAGACTACAAACTGCAAGGTTGGTGGCTAGACCCACCAGCCTCTCCTAGGAAATGCTATACAAGGTTCCTATAAATTGGAACCAACTCAAGGACTCTTAACAATAACAGTGTAAGGTTGTTATGAGTTGGAATCAACTCAGTGGCAGTAGGTTTGAGTTGGTTGTACTACAATGTTTGTTCTTTACAAGTGGTTTTCCATGTTTTAGGGATAGTATAGACCAATGACTTTCAAACTATTTGTATGTAACTCAGAAATACATTTTAGCTAACAATCCAGTAATGTGTTTGTATGGGCAGCTAAAACAAAGTTTTACTAAACTGTGGGATATAGTTTTCTACTTTTGTTATATTCAGTTTCTTTCAAAAACAGTTCTGATATATCAGCACATTAGGTTTAATTGTGTTACAATTGAATGGGTTCCAATCCACAGTTTAAGTAACCTAAAAGAATAGGCAGCCATTGCAATAGACTCAGAAAGAGCAGTTGATGAAACTCACCCTCATTTGTGACTTAATAATAATGATGACAATAACAATAAAACCTTCCTTAAACTGATATAAGTCTATATGAAACATAATGACTAATAGTAAAATTTTATAATCATGTCCATTGGAAGTCATAAACAAAATAAGATTACCTTTGATCATTTTTTTGTTCTATGTAGTGTAAATTCTAATTAATACATAAATCAAGGAAAATGGTTGCTATATAAGAGGTGAAAAGAAAAATGAAAAAGCTGTATATCCATATGCTTGACTGTGTATAAAACTATTCAAGAGAATCTTCAGATCAGTCATTAGAAAAAGATAATTTAGCAAGGTTGCTAGAAGTAAGAGAAACACTAAAATTATTTGCATTCTTGTGTGTTAATAGTAATCAATTAGAAAAATACTTAAGGAAAATTACTTCATTCACAATGTTAAAGAAAGCTGTAGGGTATCTAGAAATAAACCCAACAAAAGAGGTATAAGAAATATATGATGATGCTGTTGTTAAGTGTTGTCAGTTGGTTCCAAGGTTGTAAATCTTTTTGGGAGCAGAAAGCTCCATCTTTCTTCCGTGACACGATGGTGATGGTTAGGTACCATGGAGTCAGTTCCAACTCATAATGACCCCATATAGGGTTTCCAGGGTTTTAAATCTTTATGGGAGAAGAAAGCCTCATCTCTCCTGCAGAATGGCTGGTAGTTTCGAACTGCTGACCATGAATGAGATTAGCAGCCCGACTTGTCACCACTATGCTACCAGAGCTCTTTCCGTGGCCCGGTAGTGTTATATAATATTTGAAAACAGGCAAACCAGTACTGCATATTGTTAATGTTTATATTTGAATATAACAATAGTATACCAACATGCATGAGAATGATTAAACTCAGTTTTTTATTATATTGCTGGGGCGAGGAGGAGTGTTTTATTACTTGGGGTAGAAAAGGTTTATAGTAAACATGGTAAAATTGAAGAGTTGTTAAAACTGGGTAAGGAGTACATAGATATTCATTGTACACTTCTGTTTTAAAATGTTTCAGTTTTAAAAATGAAAAGAGAAATGGGAAAAGTATTCATTTACCAAAAATTTTACAAAAATAG